ACTACGTTACTTAACTAACGGACGTACTAGTAAGTAGTATTTAAGTTAGTAGTAGATTAATTTACTATAGTAGTTAAGTTAGTAGTTAGTGTCGTATATATATATATATATATATATACACACACACACACATGTAAAAATTGAGTTAGGATACAAGAAAACCTGGCATTATCAGAATGTGGCATGGTAAGAAGTAGTTGTGTAGTCCTCAAACATCTACCATAAATAATCAAAAGTATTTATATCCAATTATGTTCATCTTAAAATGCATCCCACAAAATTAGTTCATATTAGGTCCCATATCAACAACACATAATCCTGTCAGTCTTCATTTATTAAAAATAAATAACTGGAGGTTTCTGTTGAAGAAATACTATGATAAAACTCATTTTTTTTTTTTAAATACTTGCATTGATAATAAAATATTTTGCTGGGATTGAAGCTTGATGTTCACAACCTATGGTAACAATTTACATATACAGCCACTTTGCTTCTGGCAATCCTTGTGGCATGTAACTACAAAGGTTAAAAGCCCTGAACCTCTTGTTGCCATTCAATTAAAGTATGGAGATTTGAAATTTCAGATAGTACTTAAAACTCACACATTTTGGGAGAGTTACATTTCAGGGCTTTCTGTTCCAGTGTTCTAAAAGCATGAAATTATTGCATTTCAAAGAAACAGATATCTATAATATTCAGCTGAATTGGTAAAAAAAAAAAGAAGAAGAAGAAGAAGAAAAGACGCTATTCCAGAAGTTAAAAAACAAGCTACTACACAACTGGTTACTGTTACACACTGGAGGTAATGAAGGGAGTTAGTTAAATGATTTGTTACAGGAACTTATCCAAGAATGTAATGGTCCATTATAGCTAAAATAAAAAACTCACTTGGAACTGTAAAACAGTCAATTAACATGAATTTAGGTCAACAAAGGCAACATACATTCACAAGCTTTTCTAAAAGCACATAACTGAACAGAAGACCAACAGACTGCTAAAAGTTGTACCAGTAGTACCTGGCATGTAAAACAAATATAAATGAATGAAGCATATATCTACAGAAGGTTGGATAATTTATTATCCCCCTACCAACAATACAATATTTCAAAAATGGTCCAAAAAATTGTTGCAAGTGATTTAAGATGGCTGAATGTTAAAGTTATAAGAGTAAGTTAAATAATTAAAGGTTTGAGAAAAATGCCAAGGTAAATTCTCCATACTATCAGATTAACCTGCTGACACCACTATATTGTGGGGAAATAACATATTTACATGGGTAGGTTGGCTATAAGTTATGGCTCCCTCAGTGCAAAGCATCTAATTGCACATCTGAGTTAACATGCCAGACCTTGCCACAATGCAAACACAAATGGGAATTCATGCTATACCATTCACTAACATCTCTCACAGTCTTCTGTATCTAAAAACAGGTTCCCTGGAAATTGTCGTCTACACACATTGAGAGAGTTTTGAAAGCCTTTAAATATAAATGGAGGGCATAACAGCACTGACCTCAGTGTATTGTACAAAAGTTGCCTGTAGGGGAAATTGCATTGCAGAACAATAATTCATAACCAGAATCATCAGATAGAATACTCTCGATGGTATAAGAAAAAGCTGTATCATTACCACACATTATGAACATCCCTCTGGAGCCTTTTCTCCTTAAATTTCTAAGTTATGCCAAGTTAAAACAAACTGTAGTTTCCAGGGAATATAAGTTTAACCCATATCTATTTTAACCTTCGAAAATAACCTTGTAATTTATGGTTTGTTTACAGTAAGATTGACCTACTTCAGTTGGTAAACAAAAGCATGCTTTAAAATCCAATTTATATTATTATATAGATCTGTTTCAGGAGATAAAGAGGAGCTTGCTGTATAATACAATATATCTATATTGGGGGGTGGGGTGTAAACAAGTGTTTGCTTTGATTATTGCATGTTTATTGTAACCAATAAAAGACATGGGATTAACAATAATTATACCTCATCTACACCTTAAAGTGCTATTATTAAAAAGTAAATGTAATGACAAGTCAATATACTTTTAGATGGCTTTACACTGATAAATATCATATACAGATACAATACATTATTATTCGAATGAAATTTCCAACATTATTTGAGTAAATGAAACTAGGTTTTAAATGACAATAACATTAGGAGCTGTCTCAAATGCACTCTAAACCAAAAATTATACACAAGTCATAAAAGCTCAGAGCAATGTTACAGCAAGATATTTAAGCTCACAACCTTTCACAGGGTCACATTTGAAGCCAAAATAATAAGAAATAATTATTCTCAATATACATGTACACGTATAGTGAGTTTCACAAGTAAGTGACCTCACCCAAAATACACTGCAAGACTGACTAACTTACGGTTTAGAATTCTATCAGAGCATAAAAAAAAAAAACTCTAAATAGTTCTTTCACTTGAAACCTCCTTTGGTGCATCAGTTGACAGTAAGTTATGCTCTACTTTTAATCATCTCCAAGTCACCTCTACAGATATCATTAAGCTCATCCACTACCAGGAAGCTTAATCTCTATAATACACTGAAAAAAAGGAATAACTCCAAAAACAAGCCCACTGTTGTTTTTGAAATCATAGAACACATTTTTAGTAGTTACTTTCAACAAATGAAGGCAATCTGAAAGAGTCGAAGAATAATAAGCTCAACACTTTTGGCAACGGAGACAACTGGTTTTTATGTGTTGTCTAATAATCCATCAGCAGTCCGTACTAAGTTCGCTAACCTTGTGACAATAGGGACTTTTAGAAGTGTTACAAGAGCTCCTGTAGGTCTCAGGTTGGAGTTTACATACCACTCTTTCACCATCTAGCACTGCCATCACCACAGCATTGTCACTAGGATACTTATTCAGCTGTTGAAGCAATTCCCCTGTTCCCTGGTGAAGGTTTGGTAGACTATGAAGATGTACATCAAGATGCTCACCATCTGGTTCATCAGACTGAGTTGGTTCAACTGGTTGAGTATTTTCATTTTTCATTCCTGTCACTGTATTGGATGATTTCCCAGAAGCTGCCTGGCTTTGTGTGTTTTGTAGACAGGGGACATGTCTCATTGGTAGAGATGCATTTCTGGGAGCGCTGTTCAAAACCTGAGCTAATGAGACCAAAGCATTTCTTTCAGGAAAGGCTCGAGAGATAAGAGGGTGCTGATCACAGGCAAGGCTAGATGATGACTGGTGGCTACAGTCAGAGTTGTTTCTTATATGTCCATCGAGGGGTACTGTGGAGTAGGGAGGAGGCTGTGGTTGCCAGTTTGTTGAACCATACTCCATTATCTGCTCTTCATCAATTGCTTCATAAATATGGTCAGGAAAGAGATTCAGCTTATCATCTGTTTCAGAAAGGTGTCCGTATGGTCCAAGTCTAATTGGTTCAGTTGCTGTGTTGTATGCAGTCAGCTTGTTACTGCAATAGTCAGTCACACATTCAGAATCAATAACTGAGCAATCCACTACAGAAAGATCTCCCACAATACCATTATTGTTGTGAATAGGGAATGTTGTCTCCTTGACTGGTTTAGATTTTTTAGACAAGCTACGAGTGGATGTGTTACTGCTACGAGAAGACTTCCTCTCATGACCAGACTTCGTACCCAAAACTGTAGATGATAGGCCTATAAAGAAGACAGAGAGCTGTTCAGTCCTATCCTCAAGTTTTCAGTTGTTACTTACAAATAACATGGATTAAATCTAATACTGAATATTAAGAATTTAAATTGCTCTTAAAAGTCTAAATCATATGTTTGGATGCAGATTATTAACTATCAGACAGATGAAATACCAAACAACAAACTGTTTTTATTAATGCATAATCCTTGTACCATAGAAAACACACTTGCTTATTGCAATTGTACAAAAGGATTCACAATATAGGTATCATCTTAGTTAGATAAATCTGGAAGACATGGTTTACAAACCATTTATTTGCATCTGTATTTGATTTTTCCAAAATTATCAAAGCTTAGTAGTGCAGTTGCAATACATTCACTTAATTAAAATACAAATACATTCCAAAAGTTTAAGATATAATATTTTTGTGTGTATTTAATACATAGCTTAATAGAGATATATATTTAAAGTTTAGTGAAAGGGTTTGTTTGTTTGTTTTGAATTTCTCGCAAAGCTACACGAGGGCTATCTGCACTAGCCATCCCTAATTTAGCAGTGTAAGACTGGAGGAAAGAGAGCTAGTCATCACCACCCACTGCTAACTCTTGGGCTACTCTTTTACCAACGAATATTGAGATTGACTGTCACATTATAATGCCCCATGTCTGAAAGGGAGAGCATGTTTGGTGGGATGGGGATTCGAACCCACTACCCGCAGATTGCGAGTTGAGAACTCTAACCATCTGGCCATGTCGGGCCTTAGTAGATGGGAAGGTCTAGATGTACCAACAGGTCCCATGTTGTTCTTAAATTATGTAAATATGTATAAAGCACCTATAAATGAAATATCTACCTTGACTTGAAAACCTAAGTGAAGAACTGTTTGTTGATGACTGGTGAGTTGGGTCTCCATTCCATCCTTGTGATGGGGACTGGAAAATATAAAGTTGAAAATTTTCAATAAAATAAGGTAATCAAAAGAGTATGAATTAGATATTTTCCCCTCAAGATCATAACAAATAAAACGTTTTTAAGGATACAGATTTTTATAAAGCTGTACATTATTCAGAATAATTAATCAGTAAATATGATTATCTAAAGTTATTATTAATGCTTGAAGTACACAATTAACACTTTCATAGCCTCTAGAGCTTAGACTAACATATGTAACAAGTTACTATTTCTCTGTTATTTTGACTGGTATAATGATATTTTTCAAAACTGGGATATATCTGCTGATAAAGTTATATTATACAAAAATTGTGTACCAAGTCAATTCCTGACAATAACGGTATATAAAAACTTCTTAGACACTTCAAAAATAAATGTAGAAAACTGAATTCCTAAGACATAGAATAGACACATTACAGCCTGTGCCAAGACCAATAATAGTGACAAAAAACAAACATCTGTAAACTTGCACATTTACCATTGTAGCTTTTCTATGACTTAGAGATATTGTATTCTTACAACTTTTATAAAATGTTTTAATGTACCTTCCTAGTAATTTTGCACCTTATTAAATATATGTATTAGTTTATGAGTTACAAAGTTTTTTGTTTGTTCTTTCAACAGAATAGGAAAATAATGTCTCTTGTAATGAAAGAACTGCTAAGTATAGTATAGCAGGAAGGAGAACAAACCAACATATGCAAAATGTGGATTTAATAAGAACTGATGTAAAGATGAGGGTTCTTGTTTCCTTTATAGGACCAGGGCAATGAGCATTTTGAAAAAAATAGATTAATTTGTTTTTCTTTATAATTGTTTATAAAAACAATTAACTAGAAATTCAACAGATAGTTGAAATCATCAGGGTGAGATTTCCAAGGGATACCAACAGCACTTTTTTTAAATGCCACCTGCTGTGATACTAAGTGAGAAAGTACACAGCTGAAAGGGCAAGAGAGAAAAAGCCCAGTAATTTCAAGGATGAACATTACAAATATACCTATGTAATTTACATTAGATCTAAAGTTTCCTTACCCAAACACTAGGAAGTTATACGAGTTCTTTTAATCAACACTGTCTCAATTATGGAAGGATGTGAGTGAGCTTATACAATAGGAATGAATTCAAACAGAAATCACTTCAAAGGGAGTTAACATACAACTAGAATGTAGTACTATTTCTTCAAAAGTAGTGAAACTAAATTGTGAATCAAAGGGGGCAGAAAAACATTATTCTACATTATGCCTATTCACTCTGCTAGATGAGGGAAATGCACTGACAATGTAAAAATTAACAAATACAAACTGTATTTATGAAAAACCTAGTACTCTATAACTTTGAAAGTAGCACCTGTTGTGTACATTTGATCAAAATCCATCCACCCAATTTGAGCTACCCTGTCTATAAAGTGATGAATGGACAGACAGTAACAAATCAATATATTCCTCAATCTGATTTCAAGTAAGGAAACCTACTTAGTAATAATAAACTGATAATGCGAAGGTCTGTTTCAGCAGCCTATCAATGCCTTGAAGTCACTAGAAAATCATGTTTGAACATGGATTTCATAAAACTATATGCTTGAAACTTGAAATAAAATAGCATTTTGTTTTTCAACAGCTCTCCTTTGAAATACAGGTAAAACAACATGTTTCAGTGTAAAACATTAACTTCTTTCTTACTTTTAGCCTTTCCCTCTTGAGTTAACTTACTCTTTGAAGTATTAAGTTTATTTATTCTGGTCACCTTTGTGAAAAGCATGACCAGATTTTCAAAAAAGCTATAATGCCATAAATTGAGAACTATGACTATAGAAGTGGCCATGTAGTAGAATTTGAGAACAGATTAATCATCGGCCCATTATTCTACAGTACATTTATGTAATGAGATACTCACAGTTTGCTGTCCGGAAGAGTTTGGAGCAGACATAGTTCCATTGGAATGTACGTAGAAACTTGATCGTCGTTCTGTATGCTTGCTCTTACGAATACAGTCTGGAAGCCACTGGGTCCTGTGCAGAATCTTTTTGTACTCCTTCTGAACCTATAATCATACACAGAATACAGTTTTAAAATTATAATATGGCTATTATGATGGCATAAGGAACTAAACAGTGATTTTCTCAGGTTTTCAATATTAATTTTAGCAGGCTTTACTATTTACATGTTTAATATTACAATACATATTAAGCAAGAAACTGTTTAGAATTTATTCAACACACATATACAAGTGCATATAAACAAAGTTGTGACAATCATATAACTATGCTTTCTTGCAGTGAATGTATGTCATGGTGCCTTAATCTTAGAAGTATACTTTCATAAAGATACTGGTATCTATATTTAATATAAAATTAAAGTGCATCAAAGTAGCTTCTGGTTGACTCTAAAACAAAAGAAAAACTTCAAGTGAGTCCTTATCATTCAAATATTTCTCAAGCTTTCTCTTAAACTCCCTTAAATTAACTGCATCCACCACATCCAAACACAACTCATTCCAAAGTCCAATCACCCTGTTAGAAAAATAAAACTGTCTTCAATGAGCATTACTCCTATCCTGTCAAAATGTATATTTGTAGTCCCTAGTCTGACTCTTAAATGTGAAAAAAAGATTATCTTAATTTTAAACACCTTTATCAGATCCCCTCTAACTCTTCTTTTTTCAAAAGTAAAACAAGTTTAGAGATCTTAACCTTCCCTCATATGATACTATTTCCATCCAAGGTATTATCCTAGTAGCCCTCCTCTGAACCCTTTCGACTTGTATTCGGTATTTCTGTAGATATGACCTAAAATCCTATTAGCCCTGCCAATAGCAACAGCAAACTGCTTGGATGGCTTTAAGAGATTGATCAAACAGAACACCATGACTTTTTCTTCCATAACAATGATAAGGTTATTTCCATCAAAATTATACTCATATTTCAGGCTATCATATCCCACATACATTACCTTGAAGTTATTACAATTAAAAGCCATCTTGCCATTCATCAGCCCAACTCACCAAATCAAATAATCCAAATGCTTTTGTAAGAGAGTAGTATCCTCCTCACAGCTAGCAATCCCCAAAATTTAATGTCATCAGCAAATTTAAATAATTTATTGACCATTCCTTCACCTATGTTGTTGATGTAAATAAATAAAAAAAAACAAAGATCCTAACACTGAACCCTGAGGAACCCCACTCGTGACATTAATCTAGTTTGACTGAACTCCATTTATGATATCCCTCTGCTTTCTTCAATCTATCCAATGAGCCAACTTATCTCCCACACCTATAGAGATAACTTTTTAGACAAGCCTTTTATCTAGCACCTTGTCAAATGCTTTCTGAAAATCCAGATGCACTGCATCCACACACATAACCTCATTTATTTAAATTTACGTAAACAGTAACATCTTCAAAGAATGTCAAAAGATTGTAAGGCAAGATTTTCCCGAAGTGAAATCATGTTGACTAACAAACAAAATTTTAAACTTTATAAAATAACTTTGCAAAGCATCTTTTATCAGACTTTCAAAAACTTTTCCAACCACTGACATAAGAATAATAGATCTATAACTACTGGGACAATTTTTATCACCTTCCTTAACATTAACCAACTTCCAATCTTCTAACACCTTCCAATTATTTGAGGACTTAGAAAAAAACAATGGCAAGTGTCTCACATATCCAGTCCTTAACCTCTTTCAAAACTCTTGGATAAATATTATCTCAACCAAGAGCTTTTTCATTCTTTAAACTTCACAATTGTGTCTTAACAAGCTCAGAATTAATGTAATTATTTTGTTCATCCTTATTTCCATCTATCAACTGTTCACGATGATGAATATTTCTTAAATCTTCATTTAATCAATTCTTTTGATTTTCTATAATCCTTCAAATCTCCCATCATTGCAGTCAACTTAAACTTCATATATTTATAATGATTTTCTTTAACTTTATCCCTTATATCTTTTGTGAGCAAACCGGGTTTTTTACTTGCAGCCACCCTTTTCTGTCTATAAGGAACATTCCTATTTTGAATATTCAAGAATTTTTTAACTTTTCCACATTTTACCCAATTTAAAGCACACAATTCTTGTCTCATCTTTTCAAAATGTGCTTTTTGGAACTTTAAACCAAAATCTCATCATTCTTTATCTCCATATGTAGCAAAACATCAAATCTAATTTAGCAATGCTCACTTGCACCCAGATGTTCCCCAATCTCTACCCTATCAACCATTTTGTTATTAGAAGTTAACAATAAATCCAAAATAGCATTGTTTCTAGCAGATTCCCTAACCAAGTGTTGAAGAAAATCATCCTGAACAGTTTATAAAAACCTGCCTCCCTCATGATTTGACTCAAACATTTCTCAACCTATATGCCTGAAAGTAAGATCTCACATAATTATAACCTCAGTGACAATTGAATTTTTGTGTCTCACTAAAGTTTCTAATTAATTTCATCAATTTTATTTGGTGGTCTGTAACAAATTCTAAGTAAGAGCCTTTTATTCTTATAGCCACTCACAAAAACCCAAATCAATTTAACCTCATTGTTTTTAGTTTTGATATCCTCAATTTGACAAGGCTGTAACTCACATTTTACATGTAACGCCATTCTTCCCCTTCTTTTTAGTACTCTATCCCTATTAAACAAAATCCTCTGTTCTAACAAGTGCTCTGAAGATAGACATTTTATTTCTTATATTTCTAATATTACAATAAAAACAGTTTATCCTACCACCAAAACTACTTTTGTACCTTGTTTCCACACTATACTCCCTCTCTATATCATATTTTTTCTTCAATATTCTGGCCCTCTCCACTGTCTAATCCTAGTTTAAAGTTGCCCTTACAGTTGAGTTAATAGATGTTGCAAACAAGTGAGCTTCTACCCTATTTAAATGTAAACCATTCATTCCAAAATGCTCCCTCTTCTCATTGAATGATCCCATAAATCCAACCATCTAACCTGCTCTTCCTTACATATTAACCTAAGCCTAGTATTTAGCCCTAGTAACCAACTTATAATTTCATCTCCATAGTTAAGTCTTGGCAGTATCCCTGACAGAATTAACAATTAGCTCCTCAGATCTACCCTTCCCTACATTATTAGCTTCTATGTACACTACAAATACTATAATTACTAGCACCTTTTACTATATTTCTTGATCTGTCACTTATATCCTCCACCTTTGCCTCTGGATAGCATAATTTAACTTTTTTATTATTTTCCTATTTACCCAGTAGACTATCTTATCAGCATCCCATACTAAAGAATCTCCTATAACCATGACAATACAAAGAAGTCAATCTAAAATACACACACTTGTGTCATATTACTGTAATTCTAAAAGAACAAATTTATTTTTATTCAATAAATTAACAAGTTAGCTCCATGCTAAAAACAAACTTTGTCTTTAAAGGGTTTATGGTCATGTATAATTTATCCTGCATGTGTACCCAGATATCTTTCAAACAAAATCATGCATAAGCTTTTAACTGATGTTATCATGTGTTGTTTTGAACCCAGAGTTATAATTAATTCTGTTATCTTAGAAACTTTTACTGAAATACTTCTGGCAATATATTTTAGTAAATCATATTATTCTTTTAAATTGTATAATGATTTAACAGTTCTCTCAATAAAGTAGGTCCACTGTTTAATTGTTTCTTTATAGGCTATATAATCATTTACACATTTTCTCTGATAATTAAGAGAGATCACATATGGAATAATAACTTTAATTCGACAAAAAAGAAGTTCTCTACAATAACTAAAAAAAAAGTACAAGTATTAGTAAGTTGCACTATAACACGTGTTTACCTTGTCATTCTTAACACAGTGGAATAGAAAGATGAATAATCCTTGCAGGCTATTCAGAATGGTGAATATATATGCCATAACAACAGATTCTTTACTCAGGTAGAGCAGTCCAAATGCCCAAGTCAGCCCCAACAGGAATACAAGCACTAGGGCCCCACGTATCCAAACCCTAAAATAAAATAATTGCCTAAAATAACTACATAAACATTACTCACACATATCAATAACATTTCCTTTTCATTTCTAGTTGTGAGTCAACAAGCTCTGTCATATAATTATTATAATGTACATATAATAATATGAATTTGTCTTAGAAAATACCAGCAAAATTCTTTTGTACAAGTATACATTTTTGGCTGGCTGGAGAAGAAATCATCCAAGTTCATTGATGTATATGTTATCTAAAATAACTTCCTGATGGAAGCAACAAGGTAAGCTTTATCATCCTGTGTTTTTTTGTACATGACCATTATCATCACTGTATTTCCTTTATGGAGATTTGAATTAACAGTTTGAACTGGTCTACAAACGATAACAAGTGGAGTTTGAAACGGTATCCTAAATATTTATCAATCTACATGGTCATCAATTTCTCTAATAAATCATTAAAGAACATTTCATGCAGTGATGATCAGAATATTTTATGAAATAATAGATTTTCAAAAGCAAATGTGTACAAATTAAAAATCATGCAAGATCATAAAAAAACTTAACCTGTAGGTCTCTAAACTTGTACAACAATACAAAAAATTGTTGTTATATGTGCATAATTTAAAATATTTCCATTGCTTTACTGATATACTAGATAGTTGACACTGACATTAATGATCAACATCACAAATAAGTTAAAATAGTCTCCTCTCATCAACATCCCACTCTTAAAATTTCTACTCGGGACACTGATATTAGTGATTCACAAGTGAGTTATCTTTCATCAACATCCCACTCTTAAAATGTCTACTTGGGACACTGATATTAGTGATTCACAAGTAAGTTAACTTTCATTAACATCCCACTCTTAAAATTTCTACTCGGGACACTGATGTTAGTGATTCACAAGTAAGTTATCTTTCATCAACATCCCACTCTATTAAAATCTTTACTCATATACTTTCAAGGGTGAGATTTTAATGAGTAGGAATTCAAAGTCAACTATTAATCCAGCGTACCATTTCTCACAGTTAAAAAACTCAAGTTTCATGTTAGAAGCAATCAAATATACAAAAGGTACAGTTCTGTCTTTAAAAATTGATGGAAGCTTAAAAAATTACACATTACATTGTAGATATGTTGAATAATGTTAAAAGCACAATGAAATACAGAATGTTTTTAATAAGCTAGCAGTTTACAAATAATAATGCATATACAAAGTAAAGGAAAAATTGTTAAAAATAACAATGATAAAGCAATGAAATAAATATTGAGACCCACAGATGTTAACTAAACTTGTTGATTGTATTTTATGCTTTACTTATTTGAAGAACATGAGGATATGATTGAAAAAATGCATGTACAGCCAGCATTTTATAAAAGTGATTAAATTGTACTTTTTTGAAGCAAACCACAATTCATTATCATCATATTTTGTCTTGAAGAAGAATTATATGGCTAAAAGAGAAACAAAGTTGAAACCAGATATGGAAAACATATTAGTATAGGTGTCTAAGCACAACTGAAAGAACTATCTAAGGGGCACTATAAGGATAATTAGTGCAATGTTAGTGATTCTGGAGAGAAAACAGATAATGAAACATAGAAAATCAATTATATATATTTTATATATCTTAGAGGAACTATGGAGGAGCTACAATGAGGTTAAGTGAACTAAAAACAGTTCTTACATAATCAAGACTTGGCGATGGGAGCACTCATCCTCATCACTTCAGTTTACATGCAAGATAAGGAAAGATCTGGTTAGTATGTGATAATACTTAGGTTCCAAAATAGTAGGCTTGATTAGTTAGAATTGCAAATATATACGGCTTACCTCAAAAAACATACTAAAAGCATATATAAAATCATTTTATAGGTTTAATTAGGTTTCTAAGCAGAATTAGAAATTACTTTTATACGAAAAAAAAAAGACAGTTAATTTACACCATGTTGATATCTTAAATCCAGTTTATATTGGAGCTAGCTTTCAACCTCTTTGGGAGAAAATGTTTATCAAGCTTTATGAACAATGACATAATATATAGATCCACTTAAAAGTAGAAAATAACAACAATGAATATAGCATGCAATAGTGTTGAAACAATGCTTTTGTCACAACTGAAATCAATTACAAATGTAAGAATGCATGAAGAACATTTAATCAATAGATAAAATATGATCATACAATAAAATCTCTAAAAGCAGCTTCATACCATCAAACACTTAAAACAAAATACTAACAATAATGAACAGGGTCAAAAGCTAACTCCAATAATAAACAATGTGTAAATGCTTTTTTCTATTAGATTAGAATGATGATGCAATCTTTAAAATCATATTGGGTTATTTAAAAGAAACACAGAATAGAGGTAGGAAAATGTTAAACAGAAATGAAAATCAGAAGTTATAATTGATAACTTAGTTTGTGATGTTGGATATGCACTATTGTAAATACATGAAAAACATTTGTATAATTTTTATTAATTGGTAAGCTGTGTAAATCCAAACAGCAAACACCTGGTGTTTTGTGAATTTTCTAACAAATAGTTCATTTTACTAAATATTACTGGTTATGTTTAAAACAATCTTTGAATATTTTTTTATTTATAAGAATTACATTTAAGAATATTATTTTGCACTGCTGGTTTAGTGTTTAGATTTAGAAATAATCCAAAATTCATAAGCTGAGAAAACTTTGTGATGTATGATCAGGATTAAAACAGCAAATGTTCTATTAACTCAAAACATGATTAAGTACAATCAAAATTATATCAGTTTTTGATGTATTGAGTAATTCTACTTGATTTGTTACATACAATTTTGACTTCATTAAGGTATATATGACACTTTTAAGTCAGTTAACGTTTTTTGGTCTACACACACACATCTTAATAATGCAAAAGATCCCACAACTAGCTTCATAGTTAGGTAAAAAAATATACATGAAGTAGACGATTTACATTCTAATCATATCCAACAGTCTTCTATTTAGTAACTCAAAAATACTATTTATTACAAAGGAAGGTTTCTCCTGAATGAAACTAAGAATTTCTTGAATTGATAAATTATGTGCAGGAAAAAATATATAGTTATGCCAGTTACAGTTGTAATTACAACATATTATTAAATTACTTACATCATGCTTATAGGTTCACAATGAATATGGACAAGATAATTTACCTGACACTTGTAAGTTTAGTTTGTTCTTTGGCTTTCATAGTTGCAGTTAAGTTGGAATGTCGACACATTATACAGATAGCTATTGTCAAGAACACCATATTGGCCTGAAACATAATTCTGTAATTACTAAACAGAAAGGCATTTCTTTTTACAATCAAACTTAATAATAACTTCATTTCAATAACTTTTAAATGCAAACAATTTCTAGGACTACTGATAAACTACACAAACCAGCATCTACAGCATTGTTTTTGTTAAGCTACATAAAATATTTTGCTTTCATCCTAAACAAAATAAATTATATTTCTATTAGTCTCAAGACAAACAAATATGTATAATTTACTGATAGTTTAATTCAGGTTTTTATCATGTTTTTGAATATCCTTAGCATTCAAATAAAATTAGTATTAGCAGAGGTTATTCTAATATGTTTGAGACAGGCCATGCAATTCCTAGAACTAAATTGGTAAGTATAATCAGCTCTTATTAAGATAACCAAATAAGAAAAATTTAACTTTACCAAAAGAATTGCTGCAACAGGGCCAACAAAACTGAAGACAAAATAATTGTCAACTTTCAACCAACAGTAATCTTTTGTGCCATAGCTGAAAGGATCAATGATTGCGGAAATCATCACGATTAGAGCAGGAATCCCATAGGCAGCAGCATAGTAGAATTTTACTCTAGACTTCTCAGACTCAAAAACTTCAATGAGCATCACATACAACTGAAAGCCTTCAAAAAACATCCAAACAAATGCTGCCAGGAAGAAATAGTGCAAAAGACCTGCTACAATTCCACAAAATGCTTTTGTATGAGTCTGATCTATGCCAATAAGAAAAACAGCTTCTGCGATAAGAAGGCAGATACAGAGATTTTTGTGAATTGTTGTTCGATCACCATTCAAACTCCTGAAAATAAAACAGATTGATTAACATCAATCAAAAACTTAAATAAATGTAATATACGTTACTTCAAAATAATTTTACAGTTATAATTATTACTTCTTTTTTACTAGTTTTGCATAGTGAACAACCAACTATTTATTAAAGACACTAGCAATAATTAATTAATTACTTTAGAAAGGAAATTGAATTGATGAAAAGGTTGTCATAAGAGGATAGGTTAAGATCTCTGAAATTGTTTTCTCTTGAAAAAGGAGAGTTAGAGGGGATTTGCTGGAAGTGTTTAAGATTGTTAATGAAATTGATAGTGCTGAAGCATCATCTTTTCTTTTTGCACTTAATGGTGAAACTAGGGGACACAATATATATTTTGGCAGGATGAAAATCATTTTCAGCTAAGATAATTTTATTTTCCAAACATGGTAGTTGGCCTTTTGAAGAGGTTGCCTTTAGATGTGGTAGGTGCAGTAATTTAAGGGCTAGCTACGAGTTTTTCATTTTAATTGTTTAGTGAACTTGTTATGTTTATGGCAACAGATTTGTGAAGACATTTAAAAAGAACATTCTCGATGTCTTTACCTGAAGAGCTGGAAAGTCAGGATTGTCAAAAGAAGGCATACAACAGACACAACACAGCCAATGTAGGTGATTACACGTAAGGCCATGTTATGCTCTACTGACAACTGAAATTGAAAAAAAAAGAAGAAGTTAAGCAAAAAATCAGATGAAGCATTAATCTACAATTTCCATTTTTTGTTTGAAATTATTTTTCATGTAGTCTCAAATATATTTTTCAACATGAACATACACAGATAAATAAAAAGAGAGAGGCAGAGGTAAGTTGGTAGATAAATAGAACACAAAGTCATGCCCTTTTCTAATGACTTGAGATAGCCTAATTTCTTAACTACACTAATTTATAGGTGTTGACTCAGACACATTAGGTTTTTAATCTGCTTATCATAACATATCTATTTCAAAGGTAATTGAATGAATAGAACACTAGTATGTTTCTCAACAGTGGTGACATGCTTTAGGTGTATTGAAACTGCCAATGTATTACCACAACCCATTAATAAAAATAACTGGCTAGAAGACTTTACTTTACAAAAATAAAAATAATGTTTTCCAAGTTTTAAAAATAAACTTAAGCTATTATCTGATATTTCTGTTAAATGCTTGACACATAAACAAAGATTAAGGAATTCAGTTTTAACTGACCTTGACACCTTTGATATCCATAAGGACAGCAAAATTGGTGAGGTGGTTGCATGCACAGACTGTGTGTGTTAAATTAGTAGACCTTACTGAGCATCCATCAGTTAACCACTCTCTGAAAAAATAAAAATATTTTTAGAAAGAGCTGTGAACTTTCAAAGTAGACAGGATTTCGTAGAAGTTATTAGCTATATTTGATTAATTTGCAGCAGGGCAAACAGACAAAAGACAGGGTAAAGTGACGTATGGCCAGTTGTTCCTTGGTCGATAAAAATATACACATTGACCTCATTTTCCCACGACAAGCAGCATGGACTTACTGACACTGTAGTTGTGCATGTTTAGGTTAAATACTTTTATAGCATAGTTAACCCAACTATTATGAAAGTAACAAACATGCTTATATGGCCAATGAGATATACATATGTACTATTGATTGTTTAATTAGCATATCTATAACATGTTTAAAAAAAATACCCTAATGATTAGTTTTTGGTTGATTATCATAAGATGCTAATAAAAGGTGCTATGTAATGAAACACTGTAGTTACATGCAACCTTACTGGCAATCACTGTTAACTTTACTAACAATTTGTTTACCAACAACATGATGAAGTCCTTTACAGGGTGAACAAAATTTTATCTCCATTGTGAAAAAACAACAACATACAAACTATTTAGAAAGAGGTGAAAACAAAACTGGTCAGTCCATATCAGGTCAATCATCCTCGAAACCAAAGGTTCGTGCATTTTGTTGCTGTTTTACAGAGATGTTGGTGCTGTAGTGATATAAGAGTTTGGGAAGTTTTAGGCGAGATGTCACCAAATATCTAATCTAAAGTGGCTCTAAGATGAGACCAATAACATAAAAGTGCTAATAAAGCTTATATTTTTGTTACTACAGAAATAAGTAAGCTACTACTGAAAAGCTCTCTCATCGTGCACTAGCAAAGTATGACAATTTTTGTTAGATTCAACATTTTAATATTGATTTCACTTGGACTGTCAGCCCCATCATAGATGACTAAAATCAAGATTGGATACTGAAGTTTACATCATTCTGTTAGTTTGTACCAAAAAATCAGCCTGGTACCTTGATGGAATCAGGCAGTATTTATTCATTACATTGTGTCATTGTTATTTCATGGGTGATAAATTTAGAAACATGAAACTTGGTTAAATCTTACACTTCTAAGGCACAAACATCCCTGCCAATTATATTATCATCACAACTGGAAGAGGTCAGATCAGAAACTTTCCTGAAATGATTGATTTGACATGGACTGATCTAAATGTGTGTACTTAACAGTGAAGTAAAAATCATAAATACTTATATAATGTTATTTCATTTAGTTTCACAATACCCAAACCCAAAACTGCATAACAAATCAGTGCAACTGACAAGATTAAGTATGCTCAAATGGCACAATTCATGGAAAGATTATGTAAGTACATATTGTTAAACATTACAGTTTAACTTCGGCGACATTTTCCATAACCTTAATCTTCACTTTTTCTGTAAATGATGAGTCTGTTAGTAGATGAGGCCTACACACAAAAAGTTAGATTGGTCCTAGACCTAAGATAGTGCTAATTCTATGCTTACTTCTTGTCTTCTAGGTATGGTTTAAGGATTTATAGACACTGACCTATAGGTAAAATCCCAGAAGACACACTGTGGATTTGTCACATTTTCTGTCTGGGTATGAACTAATGTTATGATGACAGGTTTAGACAACACAGAACGAGATTTCCCAAGAGAAACTGCCATAATTTTACTGTTGATGATTTGAAGTGCATTTGTCTTCCAACCACGTTCGCCTCGCCACATGGAAGGAGTGACATCAGGAGGAGTTGGGTCAAGAATGTTATCCAATCTGTTGTAAGTCATGAAGATAACCTTTACTAATCCTAAAAGGGAAAAAAAAAATCATTTATAAAAGCAACTACAAGATCATCACTCAATAAAGTCTAAATGACTAAAATAATTTCAATTGAAGATACAATGGAATTAACACTATAATTTATATATATTTTTTAAAGCATTTTAATTGCATATATATACATATGTCCTCTAGAAAAGGTTGAATTTTGGGATAACCTTATTCCAGTACTCTGTACACTGCAGGGTAAGTAATTAAATATTTGTGTCAATACAAATCTTTTCAGCTCCTGAATTTAATACCAGTGGGTTTTCACTAAAGTATCATGCTCACCTGATTTGGAGTTTTCTAGCTGTGCTTGCACTGGCAGGTAAAGAACATCCTGCATGCGTTTCCATGGGGTGTCCATAATATCTTCAGGACGTGGGAATGAGATATCTTTGACCTTATGGACTTCAATCACTTGTACTGAGGCCACTGTAACATAAATATTTTACAATTAATTATTTCTACTTTTTCTTTAAAATCATGCAAGAAATTTTCATATTATTCGTTTTATAATTTCCTACAAATTGCTCCAAGATAAAAACTATCTGATATTCTGTAAAACTACGAAATATTAAACTTACGGACTTTAAACCCCTATCTATTGCTCATAAAAACTACTATGTTATAGGAGTAAAACCCAATTATTCAAAACATTGGTGTTCTACCTACATAGAGTTTGTCTTGTTTATTTAAAAAAAGTTCCTGAGTCAGTGGGTAATGCCGTTTACCAGCAGGAAATGCATATCTGCATATTCATTGAAGTATATAAAAACTTTGATTAGAGTAGAGAAAAAAGGGCAAAATACCAAACTCTGAAATTAAATATGAAGATTTTATTCTTCATTTATAGTATTTTGATGTATAATTAAAAATATTAAATGTTTGACTGTTTGTAATAGAGCAAAGCCACATTGAGCTATCTGCTATGTCCATCATGGGGACGTAAAACTCACCTTTTAGTGTTATAGGTTCATAGACTTACCATTGTCCCATTAAATGTATGATTTCTTTCCAAATTCTTCGATGTAAATTGCATTTGAAAAAACTCAAACTCAAAACTTTGGGAAAGTGAAACAGTTCTGGTTTTAATGCAATAAATTTTATGTTTACAAAAACACAAAAGGTTTATAATTATGTTTAATAAGACTACATATAGCTTTTTATTAAATTGATTTTTTTGAAGCTAGCAGAAAAAAATGTTTGGTAACAGTAACAAAGATAAGATTGCTGACACAGAGGTGGTACTGCATAAAGTCACACACATGAAATGATCAGTAATGAATAACAAATCAACTTATGTGAACTTAGTTAGCAAACTTTTATTTTTAAATGTTCAGAGTAACAATTTAAACTTACATAAATTTTTCTGGGTCCGTCTGAAGAGGTCCCCACCTTTCTGCATATCAGCCAATAAGTGTGCATTCTCTTGTAAGCCTAATAATAGATCAGATGCCACCAACTTTTGCTTATCATGAGGCAGTTCTTGCCATGATTCCTCCTGCATCTGATCCAACAAGTTGTTTCCAACATCAACAACAAACTAGAATTAAAAGAATATAGACTTGTTAAATATATATATATATATATTAAATATTCTTACACACTAAAAAATACAACAATACATCCAAATAAATTTCCTTTGAAATATATATGTCATATATTAATTTACTCAATTCTTTCAATGTCAGTTATAAGTATAAACAAAATAAATTCAGATTTTCAAAGTTAATAAACAGTAGCTTTGATATAAATGTCAAGTACTTGTTCTTGATAGAAACATTTTGCATGTTTTAGTTTACAAAATATTTTAATAAAGTAGTTCAAGCAGCATCGTTAATTTATTTACAGTATATCTTGTGAAAGACTATCACATAAAATAGTTAAAAGAAAACCTTCTCTCCTGTAACCTCTGAAAATGACTTGTTTTGCTGCATGGTAGAATATATTTTCATGATATTGAGGTCTTAACTGAGTGAAAAATATTACCAAGCTACTTTATTTATATTTAATCTATTCACACACAAGACCTTCTGTACGTTAGGTATTGTTACGACAGTGGAAGTCACGTGATGCTGCTAGCGCATGCGTGACTGAGTTTCATGAATTATCGGGAAAGCTCGAGTGTGATCGAGATGCCTCTTTGTTAGTATACAAGCCTGGCAAGAAAAGCCAGCAGGAATGAATGGATAGTTAAGCAAACAGTAGTTATGGTTTTTCAGGTAATTTACGATTCTGTTTCGAGCTAGTGTGTGCTTTGCACTCATAGAGGGCAAAGTATCGAGATTGTGAATCGCTGTGATTTATAGCATGTATTATAAAGGTTGTTAGGTTTAAAGTGATGAGAAATGTACTGATTGTGAACTACTGTGTACTAAAAGTTTGCATCCAGAAAGAATAAGCTGGTTTAATCAAGAAAGGACTTGTATCGCTGAAGTTCCTCAGAAAGAATTTCTACCGGGAATTAACAAACAAGCAGATATGTAACAGTATCTTCACCTTAGATGATATCATTAGTAGTTATATTTACTTGTTTTGTCAAGTTTTTACAAAAATGTTTTTTGTTAAGAAGCTATTTAACACCTGCCACACAAGCAAACCTGGTATCTTGATATGGATAAAAAAAAAAAGAGTCATTCTGGGAAAATTTGGGTTAGTTGGATTACACAAAAAGACAACGTTTGGCACTATTTTCAAGATTCTAGGTTGCTGGACCAGACCAGTGACCTGACTCAAGATGATATCAGTTGTAGTTATGTTTATTTACTTTGTCAAGTTTTTACAAAATTGATATTTTGTTAAGAGGCTATTTAACACCTGCCAATTGAGCCAACCTGGAATCTTGATATGGATAAAAAAAAATAGGCATTCTTGGAAAGTTTGGGTTAGTTCGATTATACAAAAAGATGTTTGGCACTATTCTACGCTGCTGGACCAGACCAGAGACCTGACTCAAGACCATGAGAGCCAACATGGAGAAGTTAAATAACTTATAAATATAAAGTATAATGATGTAGCAATGTTCTAGATGTGTTTGTGAATGTGATGTTTTAAGTGTAGCAATTAAGCTAAACTGTGGGTCCAGGTCAAATGAGGGAAAAACTTATTTGAAGGTATTGCAATCAATTTGACATACCAGCTGAACTGGATATTTATCAGTTGATTACTACATTGACACTGAAACATAAAAAATTGGTCATAATCGTATCATTACCTTCAAAAAGGGGATTGAAATCATGTGAAATTAATGGAACAGATGCAGCGTTGAACTTTAAGCAGATGCATGATGCATTATTAGATGATTTCCATAGCGATTCTCCTGTTAAAAATGACGTTTCTAAAATGAAGAGTAAATATAAGAAGGATGATATAATTTCCAGTATGGTAACACCATAATATAATCCATGTAGATTTCATCATGTCATATTTTCATTAATATTTAGTATTTTTCGTTTTAGAAGTTGTGCCAAGCTTCATTCATCGAGATTTATTGAACTAATCCTAAATCTCTGGTTTCCAGAATGACTGCCCTTTTGACCATCCTAGGCTTAGTACTCAAGTAGCAGGTCTTAATAGCTTGAACATAGCACACATGAATCCATTATAAAAGAAGTAATTTTACCTCTTAGACCAAGTAATGAAAAAAACAAACTTGTCTTTAATACAAGGCATAATACTGTAATACCTGCATCAATTCTACAACCACTTTTTCTCGCTGTGCGGCATCAGAAACCTGCTCCACAATATCTTCCAACTTGTATACAAGTCTGTTAACAATATCGGTGGCTTGAATCATGTCTCCACCATATAGTTTCTTCACTTTTGTCATCATGGCCAATTCACCTGCAAGGTTTACTACAGAGTCCCCTTTCTGAATCTGTGAAAGAAAAACTAGATAACATGTCTGATAACTTCATGTTACAATTTGTATAACTTTACATTTAATCAGAATTATTATAACATTACTGTAATAAGAAAACAGACTACCAAGTAAAAGTTAATAGAGTGCAATGCAATTTTTCAAAAAGCTTTAAAGCGTATTAAGGGAATACCTTGAGTATTCAAGTGGTATAAGTTTTAAATACATAATGATAAAAATCAAGTAATTTGCTTACTGTGTAACAGAATACTTTGATGATCCAAAGCTTTTATTTATATTTCTCATTTTGTAATTATTGTAACATTGTGTATATATATATCAAAATAAGTGTAAAATGAATAACGAAATGGAGCTGTATGTGGTCAAGAGGTGATAGTGCCATAATGTAAATCTGAGGGTCCATTTTTTTTATGTTCAAATCGCGCTATCCGATTACAGAAGCCCAAGAGTTGACTGAAGTTCTGTTGAGTAGCTGCCTTTCCTCCAGTATATCAGTTCAGAATTAGGGATGACTAGGTTAACACAGATAGTCTTTTAGTGTGTAAGTATCGTAAACAAAGAAGTAATGAAAGTTACACAACAGTGAATGTGTTATTTGTATAAAAATAGTTTATAAACAATTCATACTTATTATGCTTGCAGAAAGTTTCAGGAAATAATATATAACAAGAAGTATAACCTACTAAAACAGTAAAGGTACTAGTTTGAAATGTTGTCCACTCTAACTGCTTGCTAAGTAAATTCATATTTTGGCAAAGTTTTTATGAATTATAAATCTCAATAACTGCAGCTTGCTAAAGTTCCAACTTTTTGAAGTAATTGTTCATGTTCACAAAGAACAAATATTAAAAATAAAACCGACTGAAGAAAAATTCTTTGTCTATATCTAAACATTTTCTTACCCTTTTCCCCAAATTGCTAATCCATACTGAGTTACAGTCACTCAAGTCAGGAAAACTTGTTTTCCAAGTCACTGTTTCAAGGTCACACTCCCATCTTGCTGAACCTAAAGGAAATGGCATTAATGTAAGTCTGGATCATAAACAACTGATGTAAAAAAATATGTATACAAGATCTACTTCACTAACCTCTTTTCTGAATAATTACTTCAAATTCTTCACTTAAATCAGAAAGGTGTGAAAACACTAGGGTTACTCTATGCTAATTTCTACACTACTTTTTGTTTCCTTCAAAAAACTAAGCCTATTCTATGCTAACACAAAACAAATTATAGCTAAGCAAGGTTAAATCCTATTATCATTCTAAAGATTGTTGTGAGTTTGCTATAAGATTTAATAAAATAACCTATGTTTAAAACTTATTTTCTGTAAGTTTATAGAAACATCTTAAAAAATAAGGTAAGAAATGTTTATCAGCTGTTAGCATTTATGGAAATTGAAGGTAAAACTTTTTCTGTAAGTGTGTAGTAATTTTTACTTGTTCCTTGCTAGAGAATGTTGCTTGCTGAAAGATTAAAATCACTTGTTTCTTTAACATGTTAAAGTTAATGTCAAGACTTTTGGCTAACTATATAAATGTAGGCCATTGACTGAAACTGATCAAATAAAAACTACAAGATGTGATGGAAATGAATTGTTTTTTTGTTATTCAAACATACAGATATATCAAATTCAATTTTTTTTATATAATGTAAACACCTGAAACTATTGGCTTAAATTGAATATAATTTTTATTTCAGAAATATAAAACAGTCAATATTTTGAGCTGAAAAATATCAATAACCAATGTCAGTTAGTGCATCATTATTCAAAGAAGTTTACCTCAAGTATGAGTCAGCTCTTGTAAAATATAAAGTAATCACAGTACAGTATTTTACTCGGTCATTACATTTCGAAGCAAGTTTGGAAAAATATATAACCTATCTAAACATTACATAAACTTCGCTTCAATTGGATATGGTACTGTTGTCAACAATATTAAGGGCACGTTCCAGTTATGCAACTATACTGCAAGGAACATTGCAAAAATTTCTCGGTCATACAGACTATAGTGTTAAGAATACTGAGGTAGTTTCCTAGTCATTCAAGTTATACTGCTAAGAATATTGAGGAAATTTCTCAGTTATTCAGACTATTCTATTAAGATTGTTAAGGGCATTCCCCAGTCGCAAAGACTATAATACTATGAATAATGATGGCATTTCTCAATCATCTAGACCAGTGGTTCCTAACTGCCAGTCTATGGACAGCTGGTCCATAAGATGGTTGATACAAAAATGTTTTAAAACATAGCTTCAGAAGTATATTGTCTTACAAAATAATTTAAAGTACTTTTAAAAGTTAATATTGTACAAAGCAGTACATTAAATTTTGGGGCTGGAACTAGTTGTTTCTCAGTTTGAAAAAGGTTGGAAACCTCTAATCTTGAATAGAGGGTAAGAATGTTAAGGTCTTTTTTTCCATCATACGGACAATCTAGGTTGGAAACTATGTTAAAAACACGTTTAAAAATTTGCATAACAAATACTCCAAAGAAACAATTTGGAAAGTGCATTAAACTAACAACAACTGAATCATTATGTTTATGGCACCATACATCTCACACAACTGTTGATTTATAATTAATAAATTAACAACTTGAAGCTTTACATACCAACTGCTCCTCCAGGACATGCTTGGACTGCAGTTATTCCAGCTTTGGTCCAGTTCCACAACAGTTCATGGGAAGTTATTGGTGGACAGTAACCAACAAGTAGTTCTAGTGGTATTTTAATCTCGGGACTACGTTGTGATGGTGATGTTGTACTAGGACCTGTGTCAATTATAACATTAATTGAAGAGCCATTTACAAAAAAAATAAAAAAATACCAAGATGTATAATGTTATTTCCATTGAACATCACAAATATTATAAATGCAACAGTGATGATTTTTGTTTCTTTGGCGACTTGTTTGTTACAGCTTCCTCTGCTACTTCTATTCAGTGCAGTTATAAATAAAACAACAACAAAACACTAACAAAAGTTAAGTCCAAAAGATGGCGCCACCAGGTTATATCGGTAAAACATTAAACCCAAACGCGTCGTTTGCTTTAAGATTAAGTATACCATCCACTTACCCCCCCCCCCCTTACCTGAATAGTATTAACATATCTGTTGAAACCCATTATCCTTTAAAATATATGAGTGTAATTCTATATATATATAACGAAACATGTGCATGCCACATTAACACAAGGACATACATTACTTATTAACACACTATTATAAATGTTCAAAATGAATAAAAGCTCTCTAGATACTTGCGCAGTGAGAGCACTTTTGATTATATATAATCCTTTCTATATAAAAAGCTCAAATGCTTACCTTTTGTTACTTCTTGGACAATTATACTAGAATTCAAAACTATTGGATTTCCCCAGAAATACGGAGCCTGAGTGGTGGTAGTTGTACTTGTTGTTGTCGTTGTGGTCGCGCTAGCGACTGAAGTAGTACTAATTGTTGTGCTTGATGTGATATTTTTTATCCCAGAAGAGAAAGGACGTGTGACAGTTATTGGCGGAGGAGGCCTCTGCGTAGTTGTGGTTTCTGGGGGAAGGTAACAATCTGTATACTCATATTTTCACAAATATTTATTTACTTACGAGAAATGAAAAGTTTAAAACATGCTTTACATCACTTACATTTCGTATCACACTACATGTGTTATAAATAAAATGTTATTAAATTACTGATAATTAGAGCCAAAATAATATTAACTATGCAGGGTGTATAGGTAGCCACTTAAAAATATATAAAACAAGTACGACTACATATGAACAGAACAAAATACAAAAATCGTAAGCAAGCAAAACATGTGCTCGTCTTAAACACACTTGTAATATATATATACGACCTAATGCACAGTAAAAGTGACAATACGTACAATGCTCATCAACATATAAGAATAGAAAGAACACATATACACGCACTGTAACTGATCAAAAACACATCTTCAATAACTTTTATGAGACATCACAAAAAGACTAGCAGTATTATATCGCCAGTAATTAGGGACGTGCATAATTTTTCACTTCTGTCATCTGTCGAATCATTCATTCAACTAAAATTCCCGGAATGCGCTTTAAAAAAAACGCACAAAAAGAAATAGATCGTGCAGCATTCATTTAAAAAACAGGAAAAACGAGAGACGACATCTACCAATGCACCAGTGACGCAGTTACTGTTAAAGCATTGTTTGTGCAGCATACCTGGAACACACTGGTAATGAGCTTCCAGATACTTCGTTGTTCTTGGGCAAGGATCGCCAAATACTGTCGTGGAGGCTGGAATTCTACAACTTCTTTTCATGCCACAACTTTAAAATACAAGAACAAGATTATATATAGTAACTGGTAACACATTAATTTAATTAACTTTAAAATTACATTATTATATATATATATATATATATAGACGTCCGTCTTTTAACTATTTATTTTACCTAACCTCAATAAACAGACAGATAGAAATAATTGGTAACAAAATTATCTCGATAAAACATATGCATATACACACACAGGGAGAGAGAGAGAGACAGACAGACAGACTTGTTCAATAACTGTTAAGATGTTCTCGCTATCTCTCTCTACACAAACACACAGAGAGAGAGTATATTCAATAATGCCCCCGTTGGCTTGGTGGTTAGCTTAGGGGCTTTATATTGTTAAAACTCGGGGTTCCATCCCTGCGGTGGCAGGAATAGTTCGATTATGTAGCTTTGAGCTTAAGAATGAATTTATCAAATATTTTATTTTTTTTTCATCATCCACCGCTCATTACAACGTCGTAACTGGTAACATAACTAACGTCGTAACTGGTAACATAACTTACTACTGGTGTGTTTGTTTTTATTCGAGATGAAATTAACATTGTTCGTTTGAAACATTAAATAAATATTTTATAGCTGCAAAGAGTACTATTCAAACATTTATATCAAGACTGTAATTTTCAAAAAAAAGAAGAAAATGTTCAAGGCTTTATTCTTACAGATTGATAATTCGCACGCTAGGGAATTCTTAGAAAATGCGAGAATAGCGTTGGATTGTGCTAAAAAAAACAACACCTAAATTACACGTGGCACAGCGGTGTGTCTGCGGACTTACAACGCTAGAACACGGGTTTCGATACCTGTGGTGGCAGAGCACAGATACTCCATTGTGTAGCTTTGTGCTTAATTACAAAAAAATACATGTGTGGTAAAAACGGTGTGTAATGTTAAGCAACCAAGCATTATGATGTGGGAAAGGAAAACAACAAAATTTCTATTTTTCATCTTAACATTCGTGAAAAAAAAAATGAAGCACAGAGTTTCTTATGTAGCCCACAAAATAGCCAAACCAGATGTACGAAATAAGAAAGGAAGTAATAAAACATGAAGATCGTGAGAACTTTTACAATGACAGGGTTTTCTACATGATAATTTAGGTACATTTTTTTAAAGTGTTAATATAAACTGTAGCAGTATTCTTACTATAAAAACCTATGAAAAAAAGTTTATAAAATTTTAATAGTTTGGCTATTTGTAACATGCAAAATTTGAATCAAAATCACTTCTAATGGCCTTGACGTAATATAAGAGAAGTTAGTATAATTTTAAAATTTATGTTTTAGTACTGTTTATTATTCTGAAAGTTTATTGTACATAAACCCGAATTAATTAAAAGTTTGTTTTTCTGAAAAAAGTCACATTGTTGTGTTCACCACGGAGAGTGGAACCCTGGATTTTAACTTTGTAATTTCGTAAACTTACCGCTGTTCTATAGGAGGACTAATTAAGAGTACTTAGAGAAACAAAGCAAAAATAAATTTAGGTACACAGCACTTTTAAAACGTTTACAAAAGAATCAGAACCTAATGTAGTGAAGTGTAGTGTCATAAAAGCATCTGAAATGTATTACAAAAGCAAAACATTGGCAACGTTACCAAGAGCTGTACAATAAAGAACAAAAACCTACGTCACTAAGGGCTCACACTGAGCTTAAAACGCCTATCTTTCAGCTTTATAGTTTGATATATTATATGTATGATGTTTTGAAATTTCTTACAAAGTAATCCTCCAATTACATGATTTCTGAAAGAAGTTAAATTAATTAAAATTACACATATACTTTATTTATTAAGTGTATACACATATGTTAAAGAATATATATCTTAATTTATGTACGAGTGTCAAAAACATTACTGTTCTTTCACACACACACAAATGCATCTTCAAATATTTAATATCCAAGAATATCCCTCACTCGAAGATTTAGAAAGAGTTTGATTTGCTGGTGCTATTTAAAGCTAAAAATAGGTCGCTCTTGTGTAAAGCGTTGAATGTGTTATTACATTTCAAAACGAAAATGTATGTTTACATCAAAGCAGTAAAGGGCAATTATATGAGACCACAGATAATTACAGTGTATGATATACGAACTAAAGCCAAAGTATGGTTATAGAAGGCGCCACTTTTAGTCGGGTACCAAACACTGTAAGACGTTCGTTGCACGTTCTGTCTGTAATAACGACTATACCGAACTTAGGTGTGTTTGATAAATAATTATTTGAAGCCGATTTGGCCCTTGAAATTCTTGTTTGGGGCATACTATATATCAGAATACTTTACGTAACGCTTCATTATTTGCGTGCCTCAGTAGCACGTCGGTATGCCTATAACACTGTACTAACATTGTTTCCATCCCTCTTTTCTTTACTACTGATGCACCTGAGAACTGAGAATGTGGACACTGTGTGTAGTGCAAATAATATGCAAATCAGACAACGGCGGTGCCCATGTGTCAACACAAATTCCTTAGAGCTTCTAAATAAAATACCGATGGATCAATGCAATTTACTCATTGTACGATTTTGTTTTATGACATTATTTACAGTTATACCGATATATAAAATTAGCTACTTTCTGGTTCTGATCGCGAGGTATTGATAACATCTATGAAAGAAATAAGTTATTTCTTTTTAAACAGAATTATAAAGAAACTGGAATGTGTAATAATATGGTAAGATGTACAATTACGCATATATATATATATATCTTTAAAATATTTCTATAATCCCTATCTTTTAAGTTACGTTAAAATGTTAACTTCTCTGATGCATAACTGAAGTTTATTACCTGTCTTGCATTACCCTGAAGGAGAGAGGCGACATACAGTTCACACTCCATTCTAAAGCTCCATGATCATTACAGATACTAATACTGAACCTGCCATAGTTTGCTCGAATCAATCGAATCAAAGAACCATTGTCACAAACAATGTGTAGAGAACTTCCTTCACAGGCATAAGCTGTACGATATCGTGGTCTTTCTGAAGAGAAAAAAAAATGATAATATTAAAATACATTGTAGAATGATATCATACATGTATAAGTTACACTGGCTGAAGTCAATAACCAACTGTTGGAAACTGTACAATGAAAATACAACAAATCGTGTTTGCTCTTATCCTTAATAAATATATATATCTGTTGTGCAAAGAGTTAATTTACCAATGAGTTCTATGCTAGGTATTAAAAACCTTTGGATTCTCAACCTTTCTTTGTATGATTGTTCTACTACAATGATAAGTTCAAACAAGCAACACTGAAAGTACTAGCCCCCAAAACGAATTGATAATAACTGCCGAAAGGAATTTGTCACTACATTGTGGCTGAAAAAACAGCAGTACGTTATCTGAACAATGCAACCTTATCTTTACATTCTTCGTGTATTGTTTGTATCGGTAATTGCATCAGCAGTTCCTGAGGTATGCTAAACAATCCTGATCGTAAACGCCAATCACGGTTACTCATTACGGGGTACGAAGTCTTTTCGAGAACCCCACGGGGCGCGTGACAAAGACAGACTTGGTGGGTCTTGCAAGTGCGCTTAAGCAGCATGTGGCGTTAGCAATAAAAAGTACAAGCAATTCAGGCCTCGAAAGCAGTCGCTTCCATCTTTACCGAAGTCCCAAAGGCCCCCTGCCGACCAGTACAAAACGTGCACTATATACCATCATTTTCGTTTTGGTGAATGGTTCGCATGCAGGACTAAAATTAAGTAAAGAAGCATCTGCCTGCGTTTAACAACTGTTCCATTCCTCTTTGTCCCTTTTATTTGGTCAACAGTTTTATTGGGTCATTGTTGTTGATTAACCCTTTTCTTTAATGGCCGTTTTGTTTTTAGTGCTCAACCTACAACCAATCTTCATTACTCGAAGTCACCTTCATAAGCGGTAACAACCACGTGTTTGTTAGTTCATATTTCCACGTGTAGCTAAGACTAGAGAACACAGATTAAAAAAAATACTGGCCCTTGAGCGGAGTGGTTCTTCTGTCAGTGAGAATGTGGAACGCAGGGTATTACAAAAACGTTGTTCACAACTCTGCTAAATGCGCTAACAAACAAACGGCATGGGGAGATAAGAATTCATAACTACTCTGCTATGCAAGTACGACAGCCAGCCCCCCCCTCTCCATCCTTCTTTCAATATTCCGGTTTCCATTTGTCACTTTTCTCTTATCCTTTGGTAGTTGTTTGAAGAGACACCAATGTCTTCTCTCAACTGCCATTTTACGTGTTCGTACTTCACTTAACTAACGCTGTGTGTGTTGTGCAACAATGTTTAATACATACCTTGTCCCCAACAAGTTTAAAACAGTTTTCTTACTATTCTGGAGATACAAATTTATTTACCATTGTTTCTTTGTTCATAACAATGGATCTCTTGCCATTTTCAATGACGTCACTGAAATACTTTATGAACTTTACTAATTTAAAATGAGGTTCAAAAAAGGCAAAATACGTAAAAACGTTTTTACAGCTTATTTCGTTACTTAAGTAGGACAAACACATCTTAGAATAAGATTACAATATTATTTTAACTTAGCAATTTCATTTGGCACATGGTATATAAAGTTTGTAGTTGCTTTAAAAATCGAAGGAGTAGATTTTACGAGAAAGTTTTTAAACTAGTATATTTTTTTATTCCCACATGTGAAGAGGATTGTAAGACAAAAAACAACAAACACATAATTATACAAATCCTGCACTTTTCAACCACAAGAAATAACATTTTTTGGTGAAATATATACTTCCCATGATAACTATTTTTTCCTCAAGATCGAAAGGACTTGAAAGATAACCAGTAGTTTTGTTATTCTAGGAATTTATGAATGAAAGTATAGAAAAATATATAACAATATCATGTCTGCTATATCCAGTGCTGACGAAGCTTTTAGCTCAACACCAGGACTCATCATTTCGGCTAAGATACGACAGATGAAGTAGTGGTTGAGACGCTATTTATCTTTAAATCACATATTAATAAAATAACAACATTAAATGCATACATGGTAAGATCAGTTTTTACATGTTTATGATCTTTTTGAGAACAATGAAAAACTGGATATAAAAAAATTACATTTCGACTCCTGCAATTTATAACAAACATCGCTGAAAGTTCCAAAAAAGTGTAACCATTAACAACTGATAATCACATCACCACAGTTTATAAGTGTGCGGGTAATCTGTTTTGTCCTTAAAAAGACAATGTTTAAAAAAATATGTGTGCAGGTAATCTGTTTTGTCCTTAAAAAGACAATGTTTAAAGAATAAGTGTGCAGCTAATGTTTTGTCCTTAAAAAGACGATGTTTAAAAAGCTTCTACCTACTAACATATTTCTCAAAAAAAAAAAAAAAAGGTTCAAGTCCTTGGGCAAGTCCGTATATTTTCTCCCCATTTTACAGTGTGATATAAATGATATAAATGACTACCTGTAAGCACTTGCCCCTGAGACATTCGCACGAGAAGTGACGCTTCCACTGCAGGAGTCCGTCTTTGTGACAAGAGGGACCGGACAGTGTCAACTGACAGTTCCAAGGTTATATGGCTGTCGGTAAATGGATTTCGGTCGGTTAGAAACCAGCTTACTTTGTGCATGTATAACAGACTGGGGAACAAACTCCTCAGGAGGGCTTTCTTTCTTTTCTGACACAAGACCCCAGGTTTGGCAGAGATCTGACTATAGGTTTAAAGTACATAACCACCCGTACCACATCAAGATGTTTTCTTGGGAAAGCAGACAAAAATTGTCACGGTGCTGTCGTGAATGATGTCTAAATTTTGTTAAACACAGCCACACGAGAATGGGAAAAGGACGGGGAGAGAGAGCTCTTGTATAAAAGGACAGAAATTTTCAATTCATAGAACACAAATAACTCAGATTGTGTTCTTTTGACCTGTCAAAGTACGGCATCAGAATACTCTAACAAAACTAGAATTTGCAAACAACTCGCATGCTACCACAAATGTAGATATTTCACCTCGCATAATTTGTATTCAGGTGAAGAGCTTGGTGATTGGACTTGTTACACCAGAAGCTCCCAACAGTCACCACAGTTACTTAATGTAAATACTTCATCATGGGAGTGTGTTTTTACATCAACACCGTGAAATAACAGGAAACTGTGCGACGAAGTTTCTATTAGTAATTCTAGGGCGTTTATTAACTTATGAATTTCAAATGAGGTTTTCTTTTCTTTTTCTAAGTGGACAACAAGCTGTATTTTACAACATACAATCCAATCATAGGCTGTAAAATTTACAATACTTGCAAAAGCAAGAATTAGTATTCGAGAACGCTCAACAAAAGAAGAAACTGGTCATCTCTATCTAATAATTTTATATGCTTGTTTATTTGTTGAAACTTCGTGCAAAGCTACTCGAGAGCTATCTGCGCTAGCCGTTCCTAATTTTGAAGTGATAGATTAGAGAGAAGGCAGCTAGTAAGCACAACCAATCACCAATTCTCGGGCTACTCTTTTACTTAAGAAAAGCGGAAATGACCGTCATATTATAACGGCTGAAAAGGCATGTTCGGTGACGGGATTCGAACCCGTGGATAGCGTGTCCGTGTGTGTGTGTGTGTGTGTGAATACGAATGAAAAAAAGCATTAGGTCCCACACCTGTTTTCTAGAAATTCTGTGTAGATATTTCGGAAGTTTTGAAGTCAACTCCGAATAATGGAATTGCATTTATCTATATTATTTTATTGTGAAGCTTGTTCTTCTAATAAGATTATGAAAGCAAGAATCAAATGGACCAATCATCGTGACTGGTTATGTATGACAGCTGACTGAATATCTTAATTTCACAGGGCCACATTTTTTTTAAGTAATTGTATTTGCAAACAATAAAAACACACACACATTCTGTCTAAACCTAATACAAAAGGAACAGGTTTGTTCGCATATACTAATATATACTGTATTTAAAACTACTTATGGTTTACTACAATCATTTAGTAACCTCCGTATATATAACTTTTACTAGCTATCCTTCCAATCATACGACTTTACTTAATGTGGACCAAGAACAGAATATAAGTGTAATAAATATTGTATTTAAAACTACTTATGGTTTACTACAATCATTCAGTAACCTCAGTATATATAACTTTCACTAACTATCCTTCCAATCATACGACTTTACTTAATGTGGACCAAGAACAGAATAAAAGTGTAATAAATATTGCATTTAAAACTACTTATGGTTTACTACAATCATTCAGTCACCTCAGTATATATAACTTTTACTAGCTATCCTTCCAATCATAAGACTACTTAATGTGGACCAAGAACAGAATATAAGTGTAATAAATATTGTATTTAAAACTACTTATGGTTTACTACAATTATTCAGTAACCTCAGTATATATAACTTTTACTAGCTATCCTTCCAATCATACGACTTTACTTAATGTGGACCAAGAACAGAATATAAGTGAGATTTTTCGAAGCTTCGTTGCAAGAAGAAGACATATATCCCGGTATTCGGGTTTCTGGCAACCACAGGTACCGTTATCTGCCTACTTTTGTGGTTCTTTTATCTCAGAAACAAAATAAATAATTCAGGTTCTCTTCACCCTGAGATTCAGAATTATTCGACAATCATATTATCGTGCTCTCCGGCTGTGAGTAGGATGGTTTGCTAAGACTTTATTAAAACTTGTACACTTTACTTAATGGAAATTACTGTGCAATGTTTTATATATATTATAAAACATAAATGTTCTGAACAGTAAAAGTTATGTCATTCTTGAACATCTTATAACGTTATATATTATCATGCTTCCAACTACCAACTTTTTCTCTTTAATTAGGCTTAAGAGCGGTAGAATAAGTATGATGTATTAAAGTCTTATATTATGTATCAAATTATAACATACGTGGAGCACGACTGTACTAATACAAAAACAAATATAACTATTAAGACGAACAGACGTGAGTGTTAGATCTATGCTCTAGAAGGTAAAAGGTAGCCACAT